CGGAAAGGTCCAGCTACATCCAGCCACGAGGACAACACTCACTGACTGCTTTGCCGAGGGAAGTCCCCTTTCTCCATCAGGGGATTAATATACGTTCCAGCAGGGCAGGACAGACCGACCAACCAAGCGACTCCGGCAGGAAATCGACAATGGCGAGAGGAAAAAGGAGAGGCAGAGGGAAAGGGAGAACGGGAGAGGGAGGAAGAAGGGGAGGAGGGGGAGAGGGGAGAGGAAGGAGAGAGGGAAATGAAAGAAAAAGAATGGTGTAGGACAGGACAGACCGAGCAACCAAGCGACTCCCGCAGGAAATCAGGGGCACAACACAAACTTTTTGGCCCAAAAGGGCATTCCGCTCTACCCACATCTTTCAGGGGCATTTTGGCATATATCTCAACTTATGGGGGTATTTTGCAAATTATCCCTAAAAAATAAAAATAAAAACGAGAATTAGCATGGCCCCTGCATATTGACGACACGCATATATAAGGGCTGAAGTCGTTGGGACGTCGCTAGGAGCTGTCGAGCAAAAAGTGCGGGAAAACCGACACACTTTTGCGCGCCGCGTGCTGGCTGGCAGTGACTCCAGGCCCCTCTTGGCTAGCAGCGATTCCGTTCCCCCCCTCCTTTTCAGTCCATTTTCCATCTCGTTCTTTCTTCGCTTCCCCCTCCTCCACATTCGTTATCTGAGAAGACGCCCTTTCTAATCAGAAAAAAGATCATTCACATCCCTCTCATCAAATTGTCAGTATTATCTCCTTAACACCAACGACATGGCTGATAACAGGCTTTTCCGTAATAATATAATACCGACGTCAGTTCTCTCCTCTGGGCATATTTAACTTCGACATTCTTTGAACGTGGACGTTGATTTTGGTTCAAGTAACGCCAAAATCGAGGCCAGAAAAGTCAAATTTATTCCCAAAGGAGTATTAAGGTCAGAAAGGTCATCCTCATTCTGTCAGATTAGACAGAAGATTGAACTGGGTTGGGTCACTTAGCCTTCTCTATAGAAAAAAAAAAGTCGTTACATTTAGTGCACAGCTTGCCGAAAAGGAAGCAGATGTGTCAGCCCGCGCTAGGGCGTGACGAAAAGGAGGCAGACATTTAGCAGCGAAGCTTCCCTCTGTTGGCGTCACCAGTGACGGTCCTTCTCTCGCTTCTGCCCCCTCACGTGCCATAAAGCTTTTTTCTTCGGTCTCTCTCTCTCGCCGGATCCAGTTCTCAGAGTCAGCTATGACATTAAGGAATATCCATATCAAGCTATACATTTCCACATCAACGAGTATCTGTCTATCTATCTATCTATCTACCTATCTATCTATCTATCTATCGATCTATCTATCTATCTATCTATCTATTTATCTATCTATCTATCTATCTATCTATCTATCAATCACTATGTATATCAATCTATCTGTCTATATATCGTCACATGTCTACACTGGATTATTGACCGACTCTCGTGTGACGCCTGTCGGGACAGAGATGCGGTGCGCCTTGGCTGTGGAATGCATCATCTATGCCATAGCCATTATC